GTTTGTGTGTTTGATCTTCTGAAGAGAGTGTTGAGATGTTTGTGTGTTTGTGTAGATATTCTGAAGAGAGTGTTGAGGTATTTGTGTGTTTGATCTTCTGAAGAGAGTGTTGAGATGTCTTTGTGTTTGTGTAGATCTTCTGTAGTGAGTGTTGAGATGTTTGTGTAGATCTTCTGCAGAGAGTGTTGATATGTTTGTGTGTTAGATCTTCTGAAGAGAGTGTTGAGATGTTTGTGTGTTTGATCTTCTGAAGAGAGTGTTGAGATGTTTTGTTTGATCTTTTGAAGAGATTGTTGAGATGTTTGTGTGTTTGTGTAGATCTTCTGAAGAGAGTGTTGAGATGTTTGTGTGTTTGATCTTCTGAAGAGAGTGTTGAGATGTTTGTGTTTGTGCAGATCTTCTGAAGAGAGTGTTGAGATGTTTGAGTGTTTGTGTAGATCTTCTGAAGAGAGTGTTGAGATGTATGTGTGTTTGATCTTCTGAAGAGAGTGTTGAGGTGTTTGATCTTCTGAAGAGAGTGTTGAGATGTTTGTGTTTTTGATCTTCTGAAGAGAGTGTTTAGATGTTTGTGTCTTTTATCTTCTGAAGAGAATGTTGAGATGTTTGTGTGTTTGATCTTCTGAAGAGAGTGTTTAGATGTTTGTGTGTTTGTGTAGATCTTCTGAAGAGAGTGTTGAGGTGTTTGATCTTCAGAAGAGAGTGTTGAGATGTTTGTGTAGATCTTCTGAAGAGAGTGTTGAGATGTTTGTGTGTTTGATCTTCTGAAGAGTGTGTTGAGGTGTTTGTGTGTTTGATCTTTTGAAGAGAGTGTTGAGATGTTTGATCTTCTGAAGAGAGTGTTGAGATGTTTGTTTGTTTGTTCTTCTGAAGAGAGTGTTGAGATGTTTGTGTGTTTCTCTCAGTTCCTCTGAAGAGCATCTCAGTCCAGCTGCAGGTTCAGGATCATGTGGCCTCAGTCAGCTCCAGTTTGCAGTATATCAATGAGGAGGATCGTCCGCTGGAGGCCGTGTTCGTCTTCCCGCTGCCCGCCGATGCCGCCGTCTGCCACTTCAGTGCCAGGATCGGAGAGCAGGAGATTGTTGCAGAGGTGCAGGACAAACAGAGCGTGAGTCTAAACAGCAGTGGTGTTGTGTTTTATCTATTCCTGCTCCATCCCGACCCTAATCGAACACACCTGTGTGCTGGCGCTAAGCTCTTGTGGACAGTGGCTCTATGCTCATGTCAGCTGGTATAACAGTAAGTTAGGATGTTCTGGTGTTGGGGTTATGGATGTGTTTGTCTCTCACAGGCACGGGATCAGTATGATGATGCTGTGAGTTCCGGTCAGCAGGCGTTTCTGCTGGAAGAGAGCGATCAGAGTTCGGACGTGTTCAGACTGAGTGTGGGCTGTTTGTCTCCGGGTCAGAATGCCTCCATCACCATCGTCTACATCATCGAGCTCAGCGTTCAGGCCGACAACGCCTTGCGCTTCTGTCTGCCGGCTGTCCTTAACCCCAGATACACACCAGCAGGTGCACAGTTTACCTGATTCCAGCTAACAACACACACTGAGATCATAATCATATTAGGGATGCATCAATCCAATATTCAGTATCGGTTTCGGCTCCGATACTGGCATTTTCTGCTGGATCAGGTATCAGTCAGAAGAGACCGATCCAAATCCGATATTGTGCGAATACTATTCTGTGTTATTGTTAAGCCCCATAAAAGGCACAAAAACATTATAAAGCACTATAAAGTTCTCGTTCACAGGATGCGCATAAGCACTTTGTGCCGCTCTGTATTTATATTATAATACATTTGCAATGAAAGATTATTAATAGCTTTTCTAATAGTCAAGAAAGACTAATAATCTAATGTAAAGCACAGTAATGGAGGCAGCAATATATGATAGATTGGACTCCTGTCTATCATATGTTGCTTCCTCATCACTGTGCTTTTGTCAGGATCATGGCCCTGTTTTGCCGTGTTTTTGCCCGTTTCTGGTCCTATTTTCCCTGATTTGGTCATGTTCCTGTCCTCTGTTATTTTAATTAGTCATTCAGTGCACCTGCGTTCCTCCCAATAACCTTGTTATGTCATGTATTTAAGTTCCTGTCTGTATTCCTCCTCTGTCGGGTCTACAAGTTGTGTTCATGTGTCATTCTTCCTTCCTGGTGTGAATTTACCCAATATTGTTTCGCTTGCTTATGTCTCCATCGTTCCTTCCGGCAATGTAACGTGACAGAAGACCCAACCCGCATACAGTATATCAGCATGTTTTCGACCCCTTCGTTTCCGTTGTGTTCTTCCTCATGGATGCCCTCCTTCTTCCCGAATATCTCCTCCTGCTGCTGGAGCAGGGGGACAGATCTCTCGAGGACCATACAAGACTGTTCCTGATGTTAGCTAACACCACCAGCTACCCGGACGACACGCTCTGCTTATTCTATGATGCAAGTTTGAACACCGTGTGCAGGGCCCGGCGTCTGAAGATGGTCCTCGAGAGGACTTCGCCGCCTTCATGGAGTGGACTCTGGGGAGAAACGGATTGCCATTCACCATCTGCCCCGTGGATGATCTCGCTAGATCCACACCTGACCCAGAGCCCAGCCCACCGTCTCCCCACTGTGCAGAGCCTACACCGATGACGGAGAGCCCAAGCCCGCCACGACCGACAAGCCATCGCCGCATGGACCGACAGAGCTGAGGATCGCCGCAGAGCTGGAGCTGCTGAATACGTCAGACCAGGTGCGAGAGCCGGCTAGCCACAAGGGAAATTGCCGTGGACGGTGAGAGCGCGGAGAGCCGTGGCTGAGGGTGAGCTGAGTACGGATCTGGATGAGTGGAAGGTGGAGGAGGACCTCATTGACTGTTACGCTGACCTGGCCCCTCTCCTCCCCCTTCTTCAGAGCCCATTCTTCCTTCCTGGTGTGGATTTACCCAATATTGTGGATTTATTAAAGACTGTTTCGCTTACTTATGTCTCCATCGTTCCTTCCGGCAGCGTAACGTGACAGCTTTACAATTAAAAGAAATGGATTTGAATTTTATAGTATATTTGTATATAAATATCTACTTGTTTTTCATCAATGTATTTTACAACAATGCAGAAAGCAATGTGTAACATTTTACCAGATTTAGTTCTACACTTATTCACTTATATTTGTTCCCCACTAAATAATGTTATTTCACTACTGTAAATATTTAAGTGTTGTAAAATTATTGTTCACTCGTGATTTTTCTAGAATAACTTTTGCTGCTGAATTATCCACTAGCCTAGTTTATAATAGTATTTTTGTCATAGATTATGATTATAATTTTAAAAAAAAATTTTTTAATAAAAAAAATTTTATCTATATTTACTAAATTGTAACACACAAAATAGTGATGATCAGGTCAACACACAGAAGTATAGAAATTCTACATTGATTAAAAAAAAAAACTGTGCTGGTAGCCTATCGGATCGGTATCGGCCGATACTCAGAATTTTCTGGATCGGATTGGTATTGTTGCATCCCTAAATCATATATAGGCCAGAACAGTAACTGTCCACATCTTCACAAGAGTTGTTCCATTTATAATTCATTATATCCATTTATAATAGTTATGTTATGAAAACAAAAACAAAACAAAGGTTCAAGACATCTTTTGATGAAAATGTTCTTCCCAGAAAGCATTGTGAATGATACTTCCGTACTACTCGTACTTCCCCAGTCAATTAAACTACTGTCAGAAGCTTTTGAAATAAGTGTCTTCTGCTCACCAGGGCTGCATTTAATTGATCAAAAATACAGTAAAAATTCTGAAATATTATTATAATTTAAAACTTTTTTCTATGTGAATATCTGTTAAACTGTAATTTATTGCTGTGATCAAGAAATCAGAAGATTTTCTGAAATCATTCTAAGATGCTGATTTGCTGCTCAAGAAGCATTTCTGGTTCAGCTGTGGGGCTCTACGTTGACTAGTGTTAAATACTATCTCTGTTTGTCTGTGTGATTATCTCAGCTTCAGCAGCCGGTGTTCCAGAAGTTTCCTCAGCATCAGTTGTTCCTTACACTCTGTCTCTGAGTGTCGAAGTGAGATCTTCAGACCGCATCTCCAGACTAGAGTCCAGCTGCCCTCTGGATCCTCTGGAGTTCCTCGACGCGCAGCACACTCACGCCACGGTACAGTGTGTGTATAAGTGTGTGTGTACAGTTTTCATGCACGTAGCATCACCAGAAGCCTGTCATGTGTGTGTAGGTGAATCTGAGCGCTGGTCACCGGTTCGATAAGGATGTGGAGCTGCTTCTGTACTATGAGAACACCCATCAGCCCTCTGCTGTGGTGGAGGCTGGAGCGGCTGCAGCTCAGTCAGGTAGACGGTTTTTGTTTGTATATGAAGTCAGTATGCTGTAGATACACTGCTAATATGTGACTTAATGTTCATTTTAGGGTGAGCTGACCCCTTAAGTCATTGACTGCTCATAGGAGCTTTACACTCACGACTGCAGTGTAAAATATCTGACATTGTTAGAATTTCATATTCTTGTCTGCAGCTCAAGGGTTTGTGGGTAATATTAGTAATTATATTAATATTTTAATAAATATAATGTGCACAGAACTGCTCTGAGCTCTGATGTTTAGGGTGGCTCATACGTGAGTCAGGATGCAGGGCTTGGTTAGTTGTTAAGGTGGTTTGTACAGCGTAACATGGTTCACACTGAATTCAGGCCATTTACACCTGTTTACCCTGTCTCTGTTTCAGGGTCTCTGATGGGCGACCCGGCGCTCATGATCAGTTTGTACCCAGAGTTCCCTGCGGATGTGATGTCATCACTGGCGTCTCAGGGCGAGTTCATTTTTGTGGTCGACAGATCCGGCAGTATGGGCTGCGCGATGCATCATGGGAAAGACGCGCAGAAGCGCATTGAAAGTGCAAGAGTAAGATGTAGGATTTATAATGACACATTTATTGAGTTGTATTGAGTCACTGAACTCATCTGCACATGTGTCTCTCCAGGACACGCTGCTGCTGCTGCTGAAGAGTTTGCCCATGGGATGCTACTTCAACATCTACGGATTCGGCTCTCGTTTTGAGTCCTTCTTCCCGTCAGTAACTGGATGTTTAATATTCTTCAGGAGTGATTTTGTGTGAGTTAGCTGTGGTTTTGTGAGAGACTGTGGTGTGTGTCGTTGCAGTCAGAGTGTTGTGTACAGTGAGGATGCGATGGAAGAGGCTCTGAAGAGAGTAAAGAGCATGAGCTCAGATATGGGCGGCACAGAGATCCTACGGCCGCTGAAACACATCTACAGTCAGCCCTGTTACACGGATCACCCCCGACAGGTACAGCCAAATGTATTACAGGAGTAGTTCACTTCCAGAATAAAAAATTCCTGTTAATTTACACACCCCCATGTCATCCAAGATGTTCATGTCTTTCTTTCTTCAGTCGAAAAGAAATTAAAGTTGTTGAGGAAACATTCCAGGATTTTTCTCCATATAGTGGACTTCAATGGTGTCCAACGGATTAAAGGTTAAAAATGCAGTTTTAATGCAGCTTCAAAGAGCTCTACACGATCCCAGCCAGGGAATAAGGGTCTTATCTAGCGAAACCATCGGTCATTTTCTAAAAAAAACTAAACATGTACTTTTTAACCACAAATGCTCGTCTTGCCGTTGTAGGGGGACT